TATTATTACTAACCTGAAAGTGATTTTTATTCACTGGCCTCTGCCTCTTTTATGAGCTGCATGTACTTCTTGGGTTATTTTATCCTCTCCCAATTCCCCACCTTTCCAGCTAAAGCTACAAAAACGAATTTACAAACATCCCACCCTGTTTACCAACATCCCACCCGGGGCAGCAGAGTTTGTTTAACTCCTGAGAACTGCGACGTCCTCCTGGGCTTCCATCCACCTACTCGGAGGTGGAAAAACGTGCAGGGAGCTAAGGGCTGGAGGAGGAGGAGACTGAGGAAATTCAGACAAAAGGTAAGCTGTGGCTGAACTCTCGGGGACTGTGTTTGGCTTTAAATGCCTGCAGCCTGCAATTCCCTGTAACCCGGGGAACAAAGGAATGCAGGATATCACCCATTCAGCCCCTGAGGAGCAGATGGTCTCTGCTCCCATGAGCGGCTCATGCTCAGGACAGCTCATTGTTTCTCACCTCCTCTCTCCCCCGGTCGAATTCTCCTCCCCGGCATCTGCACCCTCTGCTTGCTTTGGCTTTTCTTCAAGCTCCTTCCCCAGACATCCTTCGGGAGCATCCCCTTTCCCAGCTGGTCCCTCGTGTATTGGAAAACTTCCTGCAGTCTTTTGTAGCAGAGAGTCCTGCCTTGTCTGCTGCCCCATAGGAGGCAGAGCCTTCAGTGTGATTATTCCTACTATTTTTAATTTTCAGCTTCAGTGTGAGGCCTCTGCACCTCGGGAGCGCCAGGGAATGGCTGGCATTTGCCTGTCCCCAGGGTCTGTGGGAACTGACCACTTCCTCAGCCAAAAAACAGTGGGAAATCTCAGAGGATGCTGCCCAGGGGATGGGATCACACTCGACAATGTCACTGCCTTGCCTGTTGTCTCTAGAAGCTGTTGTCACCCTCACAGGACACACCAAGCCAAACCCTCGCCACGTTTGTCCCACAATATCCTTCCTTCCCCACAGCTCCCATTCCCATGAAGGGAGGTGATGGCTGGAAGCACCATAACCCAACCAAAACACAAAGCAGAACCGAAGAGACCTGAAATAGCCCCTGGGTCCTTCTGCAGAGGTCCTGCTGGAGCCTATCCCACCTCCTGCTCCGTGGAAGTTGGCTCACCAAGCTCCTCTGCTTGATTTCTTCATTTGTGAAAGGTATGGGTTTTGGAAGATCCCATTTCCCAGGCACCAGGACTTCTGTTTGACCCTGCACAGGGCTGTCACCCAAAACACACAACAGCTTCAGAGCAACAGCCACGGCACCTTCACACTGTGTGACACGCTGGGAAAACCCTGATTTGAGCCCAAAAGCCTGGTCTTGGTGTTCAAGGATGCACAAAGAGGCAACACAGGTGTTAGGACACCAGTTTTGCTTCTGTTCCCTGTAATCTGTGATTACAACAGTTATAAACCACAGAAGACCAGCATCTGAATTTTCCAAATAATTCTTAGATGGACAGGGGGAAAACACCCCTCTCCCCACCGAGGTGCAAGGAACTGAAACACAGAAACAACCTTTCAGAATGGTCCTGCAGGAGCAAAGCAGGACAGTTTGGGACTTGCTGTTGTTTGTGGACAGAGCCCTGGGATTAATTCCCCCCCGAGTGAGCGTTCACACAAACACTGACACTGAAGCCTCTAATTGTTTTTTCCCTGGACAAACCCAACGCGTGACCCGGCTCAGCTTCCAAGCGCCCCGATCAAAGCAAGTGCTGGAAACCATGTTGTGCCTAAAACAAACACATATTTGGGTGCAAATCTCCTGTTTGCAGGCGCAGAGAGGAGATTTTTTCAGTAGGGCCCTGAAAGCACAGCGTGTTTGTCCAATTTCTCTGCAGTAAATTCGTCCCTTAGCAATGCAGGAACGAGCTGGAAGGAGGAATAAATAAATCAGAACATGCAGGAAATTTGAAGGACTGTAGACAGGGAGTAAGCACTGGAGGGAAAAGTTATGGCCAGACCCAAATGTAGAAGTTGGATCTCTTTGTTCAGCCATATGGATTCCCCCTGCAGTAACTCCTCTTCCCCTTCCCTTTCCCCTTCTCCTTCCCCTTTTCCCTTCCCCTTCCTCTTCCCTTTTCCCTTTCCCTTCCCCTTCTTCTTCCCTTTCCCCTTCCCCTTCCCTTTCTCTTTCTCCTTTTCCTTCCCCTTTCCCTTTCACTTCCCTTTCCCTAGACATGAAATCCCACCTAGACAAAGGAGATCTGGTCACATTCTCTGCAGAATGTAGATTTTAGTAAGAACCAGGTCTGACAAGGGAAACCTAAACAGGCAGGGCATTGTGCTGGAGCAGCTGTGAACAGTAAAGGTAATGAAGAGACTTGGTAGCACTTGATTTAGATATTTGGAAGAAATTTTATACAGTGAGAGTGGCAAGACACTGGCACAGGTTGCCCAGAGAAGCTGTGGCTGCCCCATCCCTGGAAGAGTTGAGGGCCAGGCTGGACGGATTTCTCCTACCTGGGCTAGTGGAAGGTGTCCCTGCCCATGGTTTGGGTTGGACTAGATGCCCTTTAAAGATACTCTCCAACCCAAACCACTCTATGACTCAGAGCTGACAGTAACCAGATCACAGCACTGGGATGATCTCAAGTCCAGTCCTACCTACGTGTGTCACCCACCCACGTCCCTGCTCGGCTCCAGGGCAGGGGAGGGCATCCTGCAGGGACTGGGGAAGGCTGCAGCCCTCACACCCTGGGGGAAGCCCCCCAGTTTGGGGGTGATGTGCCCCTGCCTCCCCCTGCACTTCCTGGTCCTGCTGCAGCCTGTCAGGACTCGTCCTCTGGCCGAGCTTCACACCCCCTCCAACCCTGCACACACGAACCACTGAGCAGCACACGAGAAGGACAAGCCTCTGCAGGTCCCAGCGCAGCCTAAACCCGTGAAAGTTGGGAGAAAATTCCCCTTGGCACTAGCAGGGCGCTGTACAGGGGTGCCCTAATACTGAGGAAGGCAGCACTGCAGTGGGATCCTGGATCCCTGCACACCTTTGGGAAGGGGGAATAGTGAAAACATCAAAAACAAAGTTAAAATCGCCATTATGCTCTTTGCTGGGTGCTCCTGGTGGGACACGGGGTTTGCTGAGCACTCCGTGTGACAGGGACATCCCAGGGCACCTGATGGCACCTGGGAGCCAGCAGGGCACATGGCAGAGCTCCAGGAAATTGTGGAGAACAAGGACACCAAAATTCCTTGAAGCTGTGTCAGGGCAGGGTCAGGTTGGATCTCAGGAAAAGGTTCTTCCCCCAGAGGGTTGTTGGGCACTGAACAGGCTCCCCAGGGCAGTGGGCACAGCCCCAAGGCTGCCAGAGCTCCAGGAGGGTTTGGATGATACTCTCAGGCACATGGTGAGATTTTTGGGAGTGTCCTGTGCAGGGTCAGGAGGTGAACTGGATGATCCTTGTGGGTCCCTTCCAACTCACGATATCCCTTGACTGAAATTCTATGAAAGCAACTGGGTTTTGATAACATTCAATGGATGATCTTCCAATGGCCATCCAAAAGCCTCAAGAAAACCCTGCATGCAAGTTTGACCAACAAAATTTGTTAGAAACGCTATAAAATCCAATGAAAAACCAGAGCCTTGCAGCACAACTTTATAGGACAAGGGCTCTGGCTCCCAGGGGGATCCTGCCCCGATGCTGGTTCAGCTCACGGGTACTGAGTGGCAAGGCTGGCATTGCTGAGGTGTGAGTTAAGGGTCTGTCAGCATTGCCATCACAACCCTTTCGTTTTGGGGATTTATTGCTTGGCTGTGAGGATTTGCTCTAGCTGGAAGTTTGGCAGGAAGGACCACGCACAGCATCTCATTTCCCTCATCCCTGAAAGCCTCTGAACAGTGGGAAGTTGCACACGGGTCCCTAGTTGAGGGTTGAACCTCCTTCAGAATCTGGCCCTTGCAGCTAAAAGTGGCAAGGCCACACCAGTGTGATTTCACTGCCTGGGGCCAGCTGGGAAACGGAGGTGTGGTATCAAAATCAGTTATAATACACATCTTCCAGCCCGAGGAAGAGGTGGCAGCACTGCTTGCACTCCCATCCATGCTCTCCATGCAACGTTTTCACTGGATTTTATACCTTATATCCATAAGAAAATAAATGGGAAATATATCCATTTCCACACTGTAGAATAATATGTTAAAACTGGTGATTTTGCTTCATTCAACATCATATCAGCTGAAACCTTTAATGGAACTGTCACTGATTATAAATAACAAATTAATAATTCTCTTTGGCTCTTCCTTGTATTACACCTTCAGGAATTAGGTCCTGATTCCAAGGGAATGCAAAAGTAAGATTCTGGAAAGAAAAAAAAATTAAAAGAAAAAAAGAGGGAAAAAAAAAGAAAAAAAAAAAAGAATAAGAAAAAAGAAAAAGAAAAAAGAAAAAGAAAAAAGAAAAAGAAAAAAGAAGAAGAAAGAAGAAAAAAGAAAAAGAAAAAAGAAAAGAAAGAAAAAGAAAAAAGAAAAAGAAAAAAGAAGAAGAAAAAAAAAAAGAAAAAAGAAAAAAGAAAGAAAAAAGGAAAAAGGAAAAAAGAAAAAAGAAACAAGAAAAAAGAAATAAAAGAGAAAAAAGGAGTAAAAGTGAAAAGAAAAAGAAGTAAAAGAAAAAAGAAATAAGAAAAAAGAAAGAAAATAAAAAAGAAAAAGGAAAAAAGAAAAAAGATATAAGAAAAACGAAAGAAAAGAAAAAAGAAAAATAAAAAAAACAAACACAAAAAAAGAAAAAAGGAAAAAAAGAAAAAATTGAAGGAGGAGCGGCAGAAAAGGGATGTTTGGAAACAGAAAATAGGGCCGTGGTTTGGAGCGGAGCGGGTCGAACCCCCCCCGCCCCACCAGGACCCCCCTCTCGCCCCCCCTGCCGGCCATGGCGGGGGGCACAGCAGAACTACATCCCCCAGGAGGCAGCGCGGCCGCGGCGCACGCGCAGTGCGCGCCCCCGCCGCTCCGAGGCCGGGGCGGCCGCCCCGGCCCATCATGTAGGTGCAGCCGCGCCGGCCCCGCGCAGGGACCCCCGGCCCGGGCACGGCCCAGCCCCGCGGGCCCCGCCGCCACCGCCGCCCCGCTGCAGGCGGGGGCTGGCCGCGGACAGCGGGGCCGCAGCGCCGCATCTTTGTTCGGGCAACTCGCCCCTTTTGGAGGAGCCGCACGGGGGAAGTCTTTGTGCGCGCCCTTCCCCCCAGGCCAGGCGGGGGACAATGTCTCAGCCCCGAGGTGAGCGAGGGCTGCGGGGGCGGCGGCGGGACCTCGGCCGGGTGCAATTGCACGGCCGTGTGCGTGTGCATGTGCGTGTGCGTGTGCGGGGCTGCGCGCCTTTGCATGTGCACCGCGATCGCGTGTGCGGGAGCGGCTGCAATCGCGTGTGCAGGAGCGGCTGCAAGTGCGGGTGCGAGTGCGGGTGCACGGGTGTTTGCACGCCCGCAGAGCTCGGGGGTGCAGCGCCGGCTGCGGGTGCATGCGAGCGTGCAATTGCATGTGCGTGTGCACGGGTGTGCAGTCGCATGTGCGCGTGCAATCGCATGTGCGCGTGCATGTGAGCGTGCAGTTGCATGTGCGGGTGCATGCGAGTGTGCGGGTGCACGCGTGTTTGCACGCCCGCGTGTCCCGGGGGTGCAGCTCCCGGTGCAGCTCCCGCCGCATTTCCTGCTCCCTTGCGCCGCAGCAGCCCCGCGCTGGCTCCAGCCGGGATCCGCTCCCGGGATTACCGAGCCCTGGCCGCCTTTGGCACGGCCGGGACGCAGGGAAAGGGGGTGTTGGAGGAGCAGCTGCAGCCGCGCTCGGTGCGGGGTTAAAGCAAACTTTGAGACAAGTCCGCGGAGGAGATGAAAGGTGAAACTGGAGTGGAGTTACCAGGAATTAAATATATACCTATGTTTCCATGGGAAAGTATTGTTCTCGTGCCAGGGCTGAGATCATTTTCCACCCATTCCTCTCCCCCCCCCTTTTAATATTTGGTAACTTTTGGTCAGAGGCAGCAGCGGGGGTTTGTCACACCAGGACGCTCGGAGCGTGCAAAAAGGCAGGAATGGAGCATTTGGGAGGTGCAGAAAGGCAGGAATCGGGGATCCGGGAGCTGCAGAAAGGCAGGAATGGAGCGTTTAGGAGCTGCAGGAACGGAGCGTTTAGGAGCTGCAGAAGGGCAGAAGTTGAGAATTTAGAACTTGCAAAAGGGTGGAAACTGAGCGTTTAGGAGATGCAAAAGGGCAGGAATTGGGCATTTGGGAGCTGCAGAAAGGCAGGAATGGAACGTTGAGAGCTGCAGGAACGGAGCGTTTTGGAGCTGCAGGAATGGAACGTTTAGGAGCTGCAGAGGGGCACAAGTTGAGAATGCAAAAGGAAGTTGAGATGCAAAAGGGCCAGAAATGGGGGAATTTGGAAGCTGCAGAAATTGGGCATTGAGCAGCTGCACAAAGGGCAGGAATTGGGGCATTTGGGAGGTGCAGAAGGGCAGAAGTTGAAAATTTGAGAGCTGCAGGAATCGAGCACTTGGAGGCTGCAAAGGGGCAGAAATGGAGCATTTAGGAGCTGCAGGAGGGCAGAAAGGGGCCCAGCCCCCCGGAGGCAGCGGGAGGGAGGTTTGGGAAGGGGACAGCAGTGATTTATTTTTGCCAGCGTGGTGGCGAGCGCTCGCTCTTCGCGTTTAACTCGGTGGTTATTCCGGAGCGGCTCTGCCTTGTGTCCTGCAAGGGAGGGGGGAGGAGGTGGAGAATTTAATATTGCAAAAATGCTGTGGGAATGCAACAGCCCCTGCAAGAGCAGGCGGAGAGGTTTAAGGAGGAGTTGCTCCGGCCATTCATTGTGAAAATAGATGCCCATATGTCAGCGAGCAGCCACACAGATGCAGCTTTTGGAGCCTTTTAAATGCTTGGATTGGATGTTGCAGCTTGGCTCTCCCTGCATCCTGCAGCCCTCGCACATATTTGGGACTGGGGGGGTGAGAGGCAGCACATGGCCCGGTGGGAGCAGGTCCCAGACTGGGTTTGGGGTCTGCCTCTTGTTGTATTTATTTATTTAATTTTTTTTAATAAGCCATCTGTGAAGTCAGTGGCCTCTCCCAGTAATCCTTGCAGGGAGGACATGGGGAAGGAGGTGCTTGCACAGCTCTTGCCACACAGTTTTCCTTTGTAAGAAAAATGTAAAGTTGTTGTATAATTTATTCCTAATTTGGGTTTGCTGCAGTCATCTTTTCCAGCCAAGCAGGGAATTGTAAAAGTTTCCGACAGAAAGAGCCAAGGAAGTTTGATAATGCAGGGTTGGACCTGGTGATACCCACAGCACTCTGCCCCTGGCTGGGGGGTCCCTGGGAGACCCTCGGAGGGGCAGGGGGGGCAGCTGCTGCCCGAGGGTCCCCAAAAAACCTCAGAGTGGGAAAACCTGAGTGTGCAGAGCTGGTGACAGGCAGGGACCTGTGCTGGTGGCCCTGCAGCCCACCCTCCCCAGGGGCTGCTCAGCCTCCGTGCTCCCCAGCCCTGTCCTTCTCCATCCTCCTCGGCACCAGGAAAAAGGGAAAACAGGAGTAGCCAACCCACAAAACACGATCCCAATGAATGGCATCATTCTTGAGTCCCTTTTCCGTCCATCCCGTGCTCTGCAATCCCAGTGTCTGAGCTGGAATTCCTTACACGGATAACTTTTCCAAGTTCAGCTGTTCAGGCCGAGGTTTTGCTTGGGAAGGGGTTTCAGCTCCGGGGCTTTGCACCAGAGGTGTCGTTCTTCGGGATGAATTAAGGGAGGCATAATCTGTGTTTCGGGATCAGCTTTCATGTGCTGCACAGGAGGTTCCTCGTCAGCTCTCTAAAATACAGCCCAGAGCCCCAGCCAGCTGCTGAACCCTCTCCCTGCTTTGAATCCTTTCCAAAGTTGTTCTGAGAATTTGCCAGAGATTAATGTTTTTTTTTTTTTTTTTTTGGTGCAGCTTGTCAGGGGAACATGTGAGCAGGAGGGTTGTTCCTGCACGAGGCTTATTCCCTGCAAGGAATCTCACCTAGTTCAGGGGGACCCTACCTGTGCCACGTGAGCAAGCAGAGCTGATCTGCCTCCTGCACAACCACAGCATGGGCTGCAAAGGTCAAAACTCCCCCTGGAATTCAGAAGCAACAGTTTTATTCGGGGCCTTTCCATGGTAGGAATGAGCAGTTGCCTCCAGCATTGTGCTCGTAGTTCTCAGCCAAGTTACCTGGACGCTGATGGGCTCGCCAAGAGTCCATCAAAATATAAAATACAGTTCAAATATGCCTTTCACCCCATGCTCGTTCCTGCCTTCATTCCCTAAGTTGCAAAATGATATTTTTTTTTTGTTGGATGGAGCAATCCATAGCAAAATTCCCTGGGCACAGCAGGTCCCTGCAGCCTGTTCCTCACCTTCAGAGGTGAGCCCATTCTAGACAAGTGGGACTTGATGCTGATGGGAGCTCAGGAGAAGTTGAATTGCTGCCCAAACAGGGCCCATTTGGCTGTCATGACTAATAGGATATGATTTTGGAAGAGGGGGAAAACAAAAGCAGAAGTCCATATAAATGACAAGCTAAGCACAGTTTGAGGCTGTAAATCTGAACTCCGGTGGCAGCAGATGTATCCAAGAGTCTCCCAAGTTCCTTGTGACGGGGGGAATCACTCCCTGGAGAATCCCACACTGGAGAAGCCACCTGCAAATATGCAGATTTCTCCACTGGAAGAAGAAAAGGGGAGGGGCAGCAGTTCCCATTAGAGCACTGATTCAGAAATAGTACATGGAAAGGAGCGATGCTCAAGCTAAATATTGCTGCCCGTTGATCTTCGACTTTGTGGTTTCAAATGCAGTTTTCTGTGCTTGAGCTGCAAAGGGAAGACTGAGATTATGAGCAGCACGTCCCACGTGATGCTGGCTGAGTGTGTACCCTCTGGACTTTGACCACAGGCCCTGCACCTATTCAAAATATTACAGTTTTATGTGAAACACTCTTTTTTTTTCCTTCCCCCCCCCTCAACCCCCCAGCTAGAAGTCTCAGTGGAGCAGATGTAGAGGCTAAACGGTGGTAGTTGTTGTTTTTTTAAATCCTAGGTAGGTGGCAGGTTGTTGCTGGTGTAAGATTAACCCGTGAGCAGCTCCTGTGGGTTGTGCAATGTGCATTTTGCCTCGTCAGCACCACCTCAGCTTCTCCCCACTCACACACTCACTCCCATGACACAGGACCTGGCAAGGGCACAGGGAACATGGTCAGCCAGGTACAAGCCTAGCAAAGCCTGGACTAGCAGCAAACAGCCGATTTCGGTTGGAGTTGTTGATTTATTTTTAATGTATTTATTTTTTTTAAGGATACCCTGTTGAATTAGCTTCGCCCTGTTGCGTGTGCTGCCTGCTCTGCTGCAGGGATGGGAGTGCCTGTGGACCTGCTTTGGGTTGAGAGGGGGCAAATGTTTATAAAGAGGTTTAAAAGCCTCGTGCAGTGCCAGGCTGGAGGAATTAACCAGCAGGGGAAGAGGGAAAACCAGCTGGTTGGGGTAGAGAGTTTTTGGCTGGAGATGATGTTTGGCATAAACCAAATCACTGCTGTGCCCGGGGAGCTGAGACACCTGGCTGGGCCCCTGCAGTTGCTGTGTTTTGCTGTCTGCACCCCTGCAGAGCCCTAAGGAGGCGTTTTTAGGGTGCCCTGTCCCCATGTCCTGACATGTCACGACAGCAGCAACGTGCTGGTCAGGGCAGCACCTCCCCAGTGCTTGGCAGGGACAGCACACAAGCATTGAAAAGCTTAAACTGTAGAAGCAATTATAGCAATAAAAGTGATAAGTTGCAGGGGAAAAAGGAGCAAAGAGCTGTTTTCTCCTCGCTGCCACACCGAGTGCTGCTGGTTTGTTACCTCAGTCACCAAAAACTCCAAGGTTCCTTCAGGGTGAGTTCCCTCCTGTGACACACACACAAGCTGCTAAGGTGAAGCAAATGATGCTCAATTAAAACCACAGGAGTAATTTAGGGAGATGAGACACCTCATTCCTCCCAGAGCACTGGCATTACTGGAACACAGGTTTGCAAGTTCTGGGTCCTGTAGTTGCAAATACACAAGGTGACTGAAAAGTTGCCTTTTTTCCTCCAAACAGTACCTGTGTTTGTTGTCACTTGTCCGTTTTCTCCTGCTGAAAAGAGCTGTAGCAACACCTATAGAAGCCTCTGAGAAAAGCATCGAAAACCAACACACCTGAAAAAAGCTCTGATCCCTTTTTTAAGTTGGAAGACAGAA